AATGATTTGTAATTGAAGTATTCACTGCCGCTACCTACAGGAGCCTGCAAAACTACATGTTTTCCATCTATTGCACCTAGGCAGTGTGGAAAATTCCACTGCTGGTCAAACTCACTCGAAATTTCTAACCATTTCTCTGCAGTAGACGGAGTCTGTAACAAATCAATGAATAAATGCCACTTATTCAAACAGAAAATTTGATTTATACAGTATCATTGTTTTTATTCTAGGGTTCAAATATTGGAAATGAAATTGAAGCCGTAAGCGATGGTGAATCAGAGGTGGACGTTTCAAAAGAAGCAGAATCCACAAACGATGTAACTGCGGATTTGGAAGAAGAATTAACGCTGAGACAAAAGACCAAAGAGACGCCAACTCGCAAACGCAAACTATTTACATCTCCAAGGAAACAAACATTAAAAAAAAGTGTGCAGCAGGAAGATCCGAGAGTAGCTGCTGCATATGACATTCTTAAAAATGTGTCGAATACTCCAAAGGATGAATGTTTTACTTTTGGTCAACATATTGCCACCAAACTACAAAAATTTGATAACAGAGTTCGCTCTATTGCGATGCATCTAATGAACAATATTATTTTTGACGCTGAGATGGGGAAATATAATGATTACCAGAAGACATCTGTTGAGACACACTTTCAATCAAGAATACCGAATATAGATGCATCATCACCATCACTATATGCTCAGGAATCATCATCTTCATCATATGTTCATATGCCATCACCTAGTTATTCTGCTCAATCTTATCAATACAATCAGACAGAGACTTCAGAGACACAAACTCCTTTGCAAGATTATCTACATACTTTCGATGTTAACACTTAAGCGTATTCAGTATCAGTGATTTAGGATTAAAAATAAAATGTTTTCTTACCTTAATGTAGTCTTTTAATACTTCTGTCAATGCCTTACAAACTTCAATAATTATTGTAGAGATACTTTGCTTAGATATTTTAAAAGTATACATCAAGCTAGTGTATGAGTCTCGAGTGGCTAAAAACCGAAGCACCAGAGCTAGTCTTTCCTTGATAGGGATAGCCAACCTAAAATTGGTATTTTCTTTCTGAATTTTAGGACCAATAAGATTTAGTATCATCTCAAAATCACTAGAAGACAAACGACAGAAATTTTTAAATTGTCCAGTATTTTCAATTGCTAGGTCACGCAGCAAATCACTGCCACTGCATATATTTCTACTATGAAATATACGTGTCATCCAGTAACGTGTCTTCACTCTTCTCTTTTTCTTTTTTGTTAATGTATCACACAAAATGATAAAAGCAGCAGCTGCAATTTTAGAGTCGTCGTTCATGCTGAAGCAATCACGTCGCGCATTACTGCAAAACTGGAACCTCGGCAAACACGATCATTTTTAATAAATGTTGCAGCAGTTTAGACGTTTAACGCGCATATGTGTGGGAACGTTCGCAAACGTTCGCGAACGTTCTGCACGGTATTGCGCTGCGGTCTGGACGCACCTTTAGAATTTGCTCCCGACGAGAATGCAAAAACTTTGGGTTTAATATGGTCATGCCACTCAGACGTGTTGAAATATAATACTCTTTCGAAGAAAAGGCTACTAAGCGATCAGTCTTATCAATCATCGCGAAAACCTTTGACCCGTTGGGATTAGTGAGTCCTTGCACAATACTTGCTAAAATGCTAATGCAAAAATTATGGGCCGCAAAATTGTCCTGGGACCAACCATTGCCTGGTCCACTGATGACTGCCTGGGTCAGATTTCAGGCAGATCTACCCAATTTAAACCGCATAGAAATACCACGAAATGTTGTGTGCCCGGCACACACAAATATACAGTTGCATGGATTCTCGGACGCTTCCGAACAAGGTTATGGTGCCTGCGTGTATATACGAAGTACAAATAGAAGCGGAGAGTTATTTGTGCGTCTGTTATGTGCAAAATCAAAGGTCGCGCCTCTCCAATCGCTCACTATACCGCGGTTAGAATTATGTGCCGCGCTTCTTTTGGCCAAACTAGTCGAGAGCGTGACAAAATCTATAAACATGAACATTAGTTGTGTAACATATTGGTCGGATTCCTCTATCGTATTGGCTTGGATAAAAACAAGCCCACATCTACTAAAAACATTTGTTAGCCATCGAGTTTGAACAATACAAAAAATGACAGATTTCGGGAATTGGCGCTATGTTCCAACTTACGATAATCCAGCCGATTTAATTTCTCGAGGTTTATGCCCAAGCCAATTATTGGATTCCAAATTGTGGTGGCATGGACCGGATTGGTTAAGGTCCGTTTGCTGGCCGCGTAGCAAGCAGGATGAGGTAGAAATTCCGGAATTAAAATCTGTAGTCACAGCCATGCCAGCTAGCTTTCAGACAAATTTCATCTTTGACCGCTTTTCAGAATTTTCCAAGTTACAACGAGTCACTGCCTACCTGTATTTATTGAGGTTCAAGAACAACTGCCTACGTGAGCGTAAAATAGGTCCCTCAAATGCGCAGGAATTAAACAGTGCCATAAAATGTTTAGTCGCAATTGCACAGAAGGAAATGTTTCCTAACGACTTGCATTCACTTATTGAGCATTCTTCCGTAACGAAGGGAAGCAAGTTATTGGGTTTATCACCATTCGTGGATGAGGAAGGCTTGATAAGGGTGGGCGGAAAACTTACAAATTCTGATTTTAATTTGAAAAGAAGCATCCTTTGCTTGTCGATTCCAAACATAACTTTACAAAATATTATTTACACATGAGCATATCAAGATTTTACATGCTGGTCCTCAACTTTTGCTATATACGATACGTAGTAAATATTGGCCAATCAATGGGCGAAATCTAGCCAGAATAACGACAAGACAATGTCTGAAATGTTTCAGATTTAAACCTAAAATTGACCCATAATGAGAAACCTTCCACAAGAGCGTGCGAATCCAAGTCCGTTTATTATAACTGGCGTCGATTATGCCGGACCCTTTTTAATAAGAGATCGTAGGACTCGTGGATTCAAACTAGAAAAGTGCTATATCAATGTTTTTATATGTTTCAGTACATGCGCTATTCATTTAGAGGTCCTCTCAAGTTTATCAACCGATTCTTTTATTCAAGCGCTCAGACGTTTTGTTTCTCGTAAAGGCAAACCCCTTAAAATCATTTCCGACAATGGTACGAATTTTGTCGGCGCTAAGCGCGAACTTACCAGATTTCTTAACACAAATGAGACCGATATTTTAAGTAAATGTTCCGATGAAGGTACTAATTGGTAATTTTTACATCCATACTCCCCCCATTTTAGTGGTCTCTGGGAGGCTGGAGTCAAAAGCCTTAAGCATCACTTAAAACGAGTTTTAGCTGCGTCCAAATTAACCTTTGAAGAATTTGCAACGGTTACTACCCAGATAGAGTCCATTTTAAATTCCAGACCAATTTCTCCTTTATCAAGCGACCCAAACGACCTTATCCCCCTAACCCCGGCTCACTTCCTCGTAGGAAGGCCCTTGGTTTCTGCTCCCGACGAGAATGTTAGCCGATTGCAATTAATTCAGAAAATGTGAGAGCATTTTTGTAGAAGATGGTCGGCTGGACACATGGACAACTTCGTGAGGGTGCTTTGGTTCTCCTCAAGGACGACATGTCAAGGCCTACCGAATGGAAATTGGGTCAAGTGCAGCAGTTGCATTTCGGTAGTGATGGGATCGCGCGAGTGGCATCCGTGAAAACCAAAGACAAAATAGTTAAACGTAACTTCTCTAAACTTTGTCCTCTTCCCATAGACTGTTGAAAGTGGATACTTTCAAGGCGGGGGGCATGTTGGGAATAGAACATTTTTGTGTGCCGCGTGTGTGCTCGCTGGAGACCCTTTGCGTACGTTACAGTGTCAAGTGCCTGGATGAAAGACGAGGGTGGCAAGGGAACGCTCCGAGACGGCAGTATGCGTGCAATTGTCAGTGAGAGTGCACGACCATAATCAAAAATAAATACAAAATTTACCGTATTGTCTGTAAAAACGAAAATAAAACAACTAACTACAGTCCACCAGCAGTTTCAATATCAAACAGGATGTTCTAGCCTGTTGGCCTGATATATCCATGGCATGCCCATTTTTAATAATAGTACAATTCGAAGGTCTAACGTAAGATTAAAAGATCGGGCACACTATACCTGGATGGGCACACATGAATCAGCACAGCGTGGACCTGCAACATGCACGACTTTGCACACTTGTCCAGTACTAACCAGCAACTTTTACTGGGTACAGATTCCTTATATGGCAGACATTGCAGGTCATAATTGTACCCTGACCAACACGACCTTCTCAATCTTTAAGGACGGGATTTTGCACAAAAAATATCGCCCAGCGTTAGTCACGAAATGGGACCCCGGCAGGTGCTGCTCTAGCGGCCAACGCTTCAAGGTGTGTTTTTTAACCGAACGACGAAGTCTAATAATTTACGCTGGACGTAAACGGCTCGATTTTTCAGGAGCGGCTCCAATTTGTGTACATACAATACTATAAGGAAAGAGAGTAAAGATTTTATTAATCACTAATAGATTATCGAGGACAATATTTTTTTATTAATTAGGCAATAATTTTTAGTTAATAAGGTTAAACAATCTTATAATTACCATTCCTTTATTATAAAAGCAGATATAATTTTTAAAATTACATGTAGTTTCTTCTTCAAAAGCTTAAAAAACGTATAACAGGAACAGTCAACAGTCTAATGTTTATATTTTCACGTTAACGATCCGATACGTAAATTAACTGCTATTTTCAGTAAAAATGATATAACTTGAATTATTTTTTTACTTTGGTGAGTCGTATTAATTTAAAAACACTGCCTAATTACTAAAATATATAGCTACTTATATATACTTATACTAACTTGCTACTAATTACGTTTGGAGAATAATATGTATAGTAGGGTGGCACAAAAAAAACGATTTTTTTTTTGTCGTGAAAATATGTTAGTTTATCATGTTTTAAGAGCTCCCTCAAAAAATCAGCTCAAAAATTTTTTTTAGAGGTCCCAAGATTTTTAAAAATTTCCAAAATCGTTAAAAATTGAATTTTTTATCTTTCAATTTCAATTCAATAAAAAATAAATTATTAGTTCGTTGATATTTATTTTTTAGAGATCGCTCGAAAACATAGATACACTACTTTGAAAATTAAAATAATTATGAGTGACCTTTAGAAATTAAAATATGGATTTGAAACTTTCAGAATCGAGATTTTTTTCAACCTAGAAAATGATAAAAAAATGGGACAAAAATTAAACATAAAAAAATTTAATTTGACGATTTTGGAAATTTTTAAAAATCTTGAGCGACCTCTTAAATAATTTTTTCTTTGACCTGACTTTTTGAGGGGGCTCTTAAAACATGATAAACTAATATATTTTCACAGGAGACACGAAAAAAATCATTTTTTTTTGGCCCACCCTAAATTGTATAGGCATAACATATTATATTATATATTGTATCTATCAGGGAAATATTATTAAAATTTTAAGTTATTATTAACAAGATGTGTAATGGAATTCCCCTAGCAGGTAAGANTATTATATATTATTATTGTATCTATCAGGGAAATATTATTAAAATTTTAAGTTATTATTAACAAGATGTGTAATGGAATTCCCCTAGCAGGTAAGACCGTCGAGAAATTGTTCTTATCTAATTCCAATATAATGATTCCCACTGCAAAAAATGACTGAGCAAGATACCGTTGGACTGGAATATAATTACCGGTAAATAATATAGGTACATATAACTTCATAAGGGTGCATTTCTAGAAGCAGTAAAGACAGAGACGGAGAGTGTAGGTACCCTTTCTTTCGGT